GTATAATATATACTATATAGTATACAATCAGTTGTAAACGTTGTTGTTGTTGTGCACTGGAAAATGGGATGCCCAAATCCCATTTTAGAATTATGCCAAGAAATAACACTAGGTACAGATGGATGGTTTCATTGACTCAGTTTCTAGTGGTTGCCAAATTTTGAGAGAAAAGAGTAGACCAGCTATATTTGAGCTGCAATTAACAGGATAAAACCTTAGGGATGTGCAAAGCATTTAAAGTGATATATTTCATTCTATGTGCTTGGGCAAACAAAACACTCTCTTCAAATTATTAAAGCAGCTGTATTTTTCACAAGGCTGGTGTCTACTTCTGAAGATGCTCCAGTGATCTCCATCTACACGAGCATACACAGTCATTTCATGAACTGGAGCTCTGTTCCTGAAAAATCCAGACATAACATGATTCATATGAAAAGAAGTAGGAAAAGTAGCATCTGACTTCTCACGTGCATTGGTAGATACAGGAACTGAAAATATCTTTCAGCTCATAAAGACAAAGAGATGGGACACCATCTCGCTCTTTCATTAACATCAAGATATGGATATAACTCCTTCCTTTACTTTTGACTTAACAGAGCACCATATTTTGTTATTCATCTACTACAGATTATGTTTCCTGTGGCTTACTGCAGCATTGTATATTGGATGACAGCACAGCCCTCTGATGCTCTGCGATTTCTCCTGTTTGCAGCCCTGGGGGCCATGACATCCCTTGTGGCTCAATCCCTTGGACTTCTGATTGGAGCAGCATCCACCTCCCTTCAGGTCTTTTCTCCTGCTTTATGCAATCTTCTATATCTCTGTTTCTTCGGCCAGCCTGTCTCAACCTGATGTCCTCCAGGGGAGTTGGGATTAACATTCCCATTCTTCCCAGACAACATGGCCAAAGGTTGGGGAATGATATATTTGCAGCTGGAACTGAACTGTACTCACTTCTGCAGTCCATATCACGTGTCATTAAAAAAGGCTTTTAGCAAACATGCTTCTCATAAAAGTTTGATCCATTCCTTAATTTTAAAAAAATGTTTCTGACTGTTCTTTTTTTAAGGTGGCAACATTTGTTGGTCCTGTTACAGCAATCCCAGTTCTCCTCTTCTCAGGCTTCTTTGTCAGTTTTGATACCATTCCCACTTACCTCCAGTGGATGTCCTACATCTCTTATGTCAGGTACATTTGAAGGGTGCTTCTTGGTTTTTCAAGCTTAGATATGCAAAGGCATCTTTTCAGGCATTCTCTGGAACTTTATTTTCATAGAGCTAGCTGTTTTCATTTTTAACTATTCTGGGTGTATGTGTTTGTATATATACACAGATACATGTGCTACATACACATGTGTGCATGCACTTCTAAAAAGGATGAATATGGAGGAAGACTGTATAATTTGACTTTATAGAGTCCACATGTGAGTAAGCCAATTTGATCTGCTGGATAGCTGAAATTGCATCTGAGTCGTATAGCATGAGTTCAAAGCTTGGCTCAGCACAAAGGCTGTGAACAGCTTTGGTCAAATTACATATTTTCAGCCTGATAAGCAAATGCAACTCTACTGGCCATGAGGGGGAAAAAATCCCTATTGAGGGGGATTGATAGACCTTTATTTTCAATTGAAGGTTTTTTTTAAAAATAAGAATTTTTGCATTAGCCTAAGTGTATGTTTTTAATATCCTTTTTGTAGTCTTTATTTCATGTATTATTAACTGCCTTGAGTGCTCAGTGGAACCAAAATATAAGATATTAATCAAATAATAATACTGTTGCTATAGATTGCTTGCATTTCTTTACCAGTACATCACAGATTTGTGTTTGCTTTGTTTGACCTTGTAAATTATTCCTCCCCATAGGTATGGATTTGAAGGTGTTATTCTTTCCATCTATGGTTTGGATCGTGAAGATCTTCACTGTGACAAAGATGACACTTGCCATTTTCAGAAATCAGAGGCCATCCTCAAAGAATTGGATGTAGAAAATGCTAAACTTTATTTGGACTTCATTGTGCTTGGAATTTTCTTCATCTCCTTACGTCTCATTGCCTATTTTGTTCTCAGATACAAAATTCGAGCAGAGAGATAAAAAACAAATGTGGTAACATGCAGTTCTAGACTGTTGTTTTTTGGTTGATGAGTTTTCAAAGCTCAGTTGCAAACCATATTGTCATCTGGCCCCTAGAAGAACTAGAATGGAATCTTGTTTCAGTTCTAAAAAATATCACTGCTGATTCCAAGAGTTTCCTCTCCTGGAAACTGTATTTCTTCTAAGGTAGCTATAGTTCTGGCAAGAAGACAGAAGATGTCTGTTACTATAAGTGAAAAACAAGAAATGTTGCATCATTATTTCCTGTGGCACCTTACAAATGTTTTCCCACATAGTCTACACATTTTTCCAGTTTTATGAAAGGTGCCTCTTTAAACTGAATGCTTAAAAATAAAGATGAGAAATTTTGTATTGGTTCTCCTTTACCCAGTTTTGGAACTTTAATCATATGAGCTGGTCTCATGTACCAAATGTTTAATATTATATCATATTCCAGTAAATGATGTAGAAGAATTTGAAAATGCAAGATGAGTACCCAGCTCTTTACTCCTAGCATTCTGTTTTTGCAGTGTCTTTTCAGTCTCATTTTCTTGTGGAATTTCAGATACCTCATTGTCTGTTTTATCTACTTTCTGTGAATGCAGAAACCCAAACAGAGCAAAATGGAAACCAATCTCAAATTTGAATACTCTAGCATATTTTAATAACACTTATTTTAAAAAGAAAAAGGACTGCCAGTGGTTTGGTGTTTGGTATGATGAATGCTTAAGGACTTAGTAGAAAGGTCTCTGTGATACATATGTGCCCACCCCAGCATTGTTTATACATAACACTGTGTACAACAAGACACATCAATTCTGTTTTTCACCAATCCTTGACTTTCTCAAAAAGAAATTCAAATCATGCTATCTTAACATTCCAGCAAAGCTAGGTGATTCCAAACTCATTGATAGACAGTTTATATTTCCCCCACTCACTCTTTGCTGGATTGCAACAAAGTTTATCTAAACAGTTTTTGTTACCAGTTTGACATCTAATTGGACAAGTGAGATGTGTAAATGGATGTTGATTATTAGAAGTGCCTACACCGTAATTTCAAGCTCTAGCTGTACATAACATTTTGTCTCAGAACTTGTATTTTGTGAAACTAACATTGTAGGAAAGAAAGGTACCACTCTAGGCCAGTCATATCTACCTCAGTGCAATGGGTTGAGGTTGGCTTACTAGGGAAACCAATTAAGCTGTTTTCAATCCAAAATAGATTTCAAGCTGTACATTCAGAAACGATCAAACGGCTGTTTCCAAACAGCTGGATTCTAAGCAGAGGTTGTTCTTGAATGGATACTTTAATCACTCAAGCAAGATCTCTAGAGTTAAGTTAGAACATTAAAACAAAATGAATAAAAGCTAAAAACAAGGCTATAAGGCTGGAGTTAAATTTGTTTTATCCATATTATAAGATTTAATAATATGCCCCTTCCACAATTCTTCCAGACTAGAACAGGTTCCTCAAGTGCATGGTTTATATTGCTGGAAAATGATCCAGTAATTGGATTGCACTGATTGGCAAAGCTAAAGTCCTTTTCTCCCCACAATACTAGTCTTCTAATCTTACTTTAGAGTAATAAATAAAAACATACATAATTCTTGGCTATGTCTTTGAAGTAGCTTGCAGTTTGGCCCATATGTATCACAGGATTCAAATCTGCACCACTAATTAGGTACTTGTAGATCTGCATCCAGAAACAATAAAGAACTTATTTTGTAAATTAACAGCAGATATACAGCAACATTTGTGATTAGCTCAGACAACTTCCAAGAATGTATTTACTTATCTTGAACAAGAGAACCTCCCTCATATCCAAGTCTCTTTGGAGGGTAATTGGCCTCACAACCAGTCAATGGATTGCGATGGACCACCACCAGATTTGGAAGAGCCACACAAGAAGTGCTTTCCTAGAAACCCCTCAGTTATCTACTAATTGACAACTAAGGCATGTGTGTGTGCGTGTGTGTGTGCGTGTGTGTGTGTGTGTATCATATATTTGCATATATCTAGGCTTGGCTCAAAACCTTAGCTAAATATGTGGAGAACATCCTGGCTAAATTCATTCAACACACTGAACTACAAATTAGCTAATCACAATTTAACTCAATGCATCATGGAATCTCAGCCTGTGCAGCTAGTTTATCATTCACTGTGTTATATGAACCCAGAAAATTGGATCAATGGAGTAAACCATGATTCCAACAAACAAGTTTAAGCATGTCATGCAAATAAAGCCATTCAGTTTATTGCATTTTTATGTGAAACCTGCTATTTTGAGAAATATCAGAATTATGATGTGGAGATCATAAAACTTTTGAAATTAATGTCCATGCTCTGAGTTTCAGACTATACATATCCTGCTTTTCTTTTAGGAGCTATCTTCTACTAAGCTCCGTGCTCAAGTATTGCTGAAATATTGCTAAACCCTTGCTCCAAAAAGAGCCCAACAAAAATTCCTATTTGTCGTTTTAAAACAAACTTTGGATTGTTATTATCCGAGGCATCTATAATGGTGGGAGATGAATTATCACCTGTATGTATGTATCAATGTGACAGTATTTTTGACATCTTTTGTTTTTAAATCATACCTTCTGTGCAATGTAGATTCTTAGTTGTGATGAGTTGTTGCCCTAAAAACATACTTATTTAAGACATTTATGCATATGTGTGGTTTTCTTATTTTTTTAAAGAAAAAGCAAAAGTCAATGCAAGTAATTTCAAAACCTCAGCGTGCTAAAGAGTGCATCTACTGTATATTAACAGTTCTTTTGTCTTGGTTGTGTGATGCACACTGCATTACTTTGGATTCCTGTTGGTTTTGCTATTCTAGAGACTGCTGCTGCTTGCACGCTGTGATACATTTGCACTGTTGTAGATACATGTAAACATTGTCTTTTTTCCAGGTGGCTTGTTTATCTTTTATAGTTCTGATGATGATAACTAATTGACCTATGAGTACTTTGATTCATGTATCGAACTAGAAGATTTAGGATGTTGGGCATTCTAATTCTGTATTTTGCATAAACTAACAAAATGCTTTGTATATTTCTGTATAGTTGATTTCCTGTAGAATATTTGTATGTGCATTATTTTCCAGTTTAGAGTTCGTTTTCTGAAAATAGAGAACCCTTATGATAATGCAACAAAGGAATAATTAAATAAAAATATTGGTATTTTCAAACTGCTGTATTGGTCTTGTTTCAGTGATTTTTCAGTTTTCAGCTGTTGAAGCTTTCCTTAGCCCAGTCTTAAATATGGGCTCCTTCTTTATTTTCTGTTACCTCTTCTTTTTCTCTCTGCTTCCTGTTTTTGCAGCTTATTCCTTCCTTTTTTTCTCTCTCCTTAGAATTCATGGGGCATGTAAGCTAATGGAAACAAAATGTGAGTTCTAAACCCTTCATCCAATAAATGTAAATAGGCCAGTAAGCAAAAACAGTTTTCTCTTTGAAGGATGTGTAAGCAACTTCTCTTTATGCTGTTTTTAGAATATAGTCAAGGATTGTACACTAGAGGGTGCTGCATTCTTTCATAAACAATGAAAGAGCTGTGCTCAAATTGAACTTCCCTCCTAACATTTCTCTGTAGGATATCCACTTCCATGTTTCTGTACATTCTGGGGAGAAAAGAGATTAGAACTATATATTTTGTATCTTTATTTACATTACTCTGTGATTTAGTGAAACCTCAAGAGCAGCTTTTTAAACGAAAATACTGTAGCTAAAGTGAAGATGGAGTTCGGAGCAAAGAGAGTTGAGATGCTTGATTTTTTATCCTCCACTGCTGTTCCACTGTAACACCATTCCCTTTATCTGGCTACTACTGCACGGTAACACAATGGGAATATGGAACACACTTCTGTTACAAAAGCCTCAGAGAAGCTTTGATAGATCCTCCTAGTGTTTTGGATGTGGCAGTGGGTAGAGCTTGGGTAAAGCTTTCCTTTGGGTAGAGTTCGATTCCTGATGATTGCATAGATTTGTTGGCTAGGTCTCAGCACGGTGTTTGTTACAAGCTGTGATGACAGCAAATCTGTCAAAACATCATAGCTTAAAGGACACAGCTTTGTACTTGACTCATATCTGATGCAAGTATATAGATTCCATCACTTGCATCGTGACATCATGATGCACATGCTATCATTTGCCCCACTCCCCCATCCCCATAAAATTCCATTTTATGAATATACCATATATACTTGTGTATAAGCCCAACTGCAGATAAGCTGAATCCAATTTTTTGGGTGCATTTTGGCACCTAAAATTCTCAGCTTGCTTGTGAGTATATACAGTACTGTACAATAACTGCTCTGGGTAGCATGTGAATAACCTTGTCTGGGTTTGAAGCTAACCAGAACTGAAATTGAATAATAACTTGGGTGAGAGAGTTCTAGGGACTACCAATACTATAGGCCCCTTTCTTTACCATACCACACTATGCAATATTTTTGAGGATATTGAAAATGCTTAGTGATTCCTACCTCTTCACAAAACTATAATTCCCAGGATTTCATAGGGAACATAATAGCAAATGTTAATTCCATTAGTCTTATTCAGAGTATCCCAACCTTGACAAGTTCCAGATGTGTGAACTCCAATTCCCCAAATTTACAATAATGTTTATACTGGCTAGGGAATTCTGGGAATTGAAATCTACACAACTGAAAGTTGCCAAGGCTTGTCTTGCAGGATTGCTGTGAGGCTAATGGGTTCCTCTGAGTATTGCTGGAAAAGAAAAGAGGTTGGAACCAAATGTCTTCCTATAACTTCTCTAATATACTACTCTGCCAAGGCTCAGAGTTTTGGCCAACTGAGTGTAATCCCCACCAAATAATGCACTAGGTTTGAGGAACAAATATAATTAACTTAGAATATTTGTAGTTAATACAACATTACTGTGTTAAGTATGGGCCCTGATTTGAAGTATCAATATGCATTTACTTGTGGAAAAACAAAGCAGGATTTGTAGAACAAACAGTACAAACTAATACCAACAATGGCATAGCTGTAAAAGCTATGAAGTTTCAAGGCTTGTACTTGACAGAACAATATATTGGAAAAATCACATTAGCATTTAAGTATTATATTTATTTTTTAAGATAAGGTTGACATATTCTCAAAAGCCAACATTTATTTTAACCAGCAAGAGAGCATATGTAGGTCCACAGATTCAAGATTAGCTTTATTTTAATTCCTCAGGAATCCTAGAAGAAGGAGATAGGCTCTGGGATCACATTTATTTTAGATGAAACATTCTGGAAACAAAACAGAATTACAAACAATTAGTACTGCCACTCAAACTACAATGCCAAACATTCCTGTGACACTGTAAGCCTGTTGACCTCAATCATATCTGGAATAGGGAAAATAGATTATTCTATATATTTTATGAGAATGTTTACTAACGATGGGAAAACAATCTGAGAAATGCTAATATGGAAATCCTGATGGAAAGGTTGTGGTAGTATGTTGTCTGTTGCAAAGAATGAAAGTTTGTCAAAAGAGGCACAAATAGCTATATATAAAACATGGGCAAAGCAGGGGCATCCCCAAGGGGAGTCAACAGCACCAAAATGGTGGGCATAACTGGGCCTCACATCTTTTTAATGTGCATTGCATGTGGCAAAACAAGAAATAGAGTCAAGAATGAACAAGTACTAAATAAATGTAGACTAATACAAAAGTGAGTGATCAGTACAAATAAATACTTTGAGGTAGTTTGGTCATATAAAGAAAAGTTAATTACCACACAAATATATAGAGAAATATTGGATAGGTTGAAATGCAGAGGAAGACCAAGAGAGTCCTGATTAGATGGAGCCTGAAGTTCTGAAAAAGGTGAAAATTTAAAGAACAAAAGGCAATGTATAAAGTGGTGTATGGATGTGATGGAAGCAAGGATGGTTTATATAATAGATGGTGTTGGTGTAAACTACTTTTAGCTATCTTTCTTTCTCCTTTTTAACATTTTCATCTGAAATTTCTTTGGTTTCCTTTGGTTTCATCCTGTCTGATGCTGTCTATCCCCAAAGTAAATAAGGCGATGGGTGTGTTTTGTTGTTGCTGCTGCTGCTGCTTCTGCTTCTGCTGCTGTAATTGTTGTTTCTATAGATGGGCAGAGCTGAAATCTGTAGCCCTTTCTATAAAGTTTATGGGATGGGTTTATGCAAAATAAGTACTTGGAGTGTACTGGAGGCTTCACACACTTACTTTAGAATTTATTTAAAACAAACAAAAATTGTACTGCAAATAAGCACCAAATTCCAGAGGTAGGAAGTTCTCTGGGCAGCAAAAGTGAGGCTTGGGACTCTGAAACTTGTAGGTCATGGGCTCCCATCTTTGCTCCCTCCATCTTAGCTTAATGAACTGAATTAATTTCAGTCATTCTGTATGTTTTCTCTAGATTGCAGAATGATGTTCCTTCCTGAAAATTAAAATTGGTTGAGGGATGGGGATGCATTTATATTTCCAGAGAATTAGTATTAGGTCACCAATGTGCAAGTTATTCTGGTGTTGTTTGTACTTAAGTGTTGAAGGAAGTTAGTACAGATAAGTTCTGTAAGCAGATTCAGACATCAATCACTTGAAATGAATTGGGTCAGATAAACAGAAAGAAGTGTTGCACAATAGCAGGTTAAAAAGAGAGAGAGATGTAAAAACTGCATCTAGACTACATTACTAGACTGACACATACATGCACACTCATGAAACTGCAAATACATCCATTTGAATCCGTTTCAGTATGTTGTCTTTTTCTTGGTTGATTATTTGTTTGGCTTAAATTTCTCCTTCTATGGTTTGGTTCTCAAATCATTAGGAATTTGGTCAGAGTTAAGTCTCTAAATTAAACTTTATTAAAAGACAGAAACAGCTTTGTGTTCCCATTTTCTTTTCATCAGCTTTCTCAGTGAATGCCCAAGGGGTGTATGCACACGTACCTGTGTGTGTATATACTTGTGTGCACACACCCTACAAACATACCCCAAAATGCAGAATGGAAAGGTGTTTGCTTCACGCTGTGGTTGCTATAGGCTTGTGATGAATAGCTGACTATAAACAGAATCTGCAGTTTTGCTTGACATCATATACAGGTCCATTTGATCACTGTGCTCAAATTCAGCTAAGTACATACTTATTAGGTTGGTCCTTGAAGACCACTAGATGCATGTCATAAGAATAATAAATGTTGAGCTGGCAGTGGCTTGCAAAATAATAGGGATTCTGCTTGCAGCAACATTTGGTTTTGTTAAGAGCAGGATTTGCTGTAGGAAAATATTGTATTAAATGCTTTAGTGTTTTCCACTGTAAGAGCTGAATTTACAGAAATTCTCAGAATGTACAAATGATCCCTATTAAAACTTTAGATTTTTTTTTCTGGTCTACTGATCTCTCACTAAGTGAAGTGTCAAGTGGAATTGCCCTTCTCCAGAAATGTGAGTAAGTAGGTAGAGATTTTATTATTTTAACATAACAGCAAAGCCTCGGTTTCTTATTTCATGGAACATATAGGTGCTGATGGTACAACAGCTGCCTTAGGTTAGATAAACTAGATTAGATGGATGTATTGTTTTTGTTTTTGCTGTAATTCTCTGACTGTAAACTACTTCAGTCCTTTGTGGAAGTGAACAACATATAAATTATGTATGTGTGTGTACACACACACACACACACACAATTTATAGGTCGTTCACCTATACTGTTTGTACACCATTTATGTTAATTTATATCACTTTGTAACAATGCTAAGTGACATATTTAGATGAAAATTAAATAGTTAAGTAAATTCAAATCAAATGGACATTTGGCTTTAGCAGACACCCCTTTTCCCTCACAGTCCATTAAACTGTGGGTTGCTTATATTGTCATTTACTACTGTTATTTTGTCACTATCAGATTATAATGCTTTCTAATTATGGGATTTTGGCTTTGAGGGGTGATGATAGATATTTTAGTGCTGATAGTTTAGACTAGTTGCATTTTTATGGCTATGAAAATCAATTTGTGAAGACTTTGCCCCAACCAGTAGCATCAGTCAATAAATTAATACTGTACCTGAGTGATCTGGAAAGAAGCACCAGATGACTCCAACAATACTTGAATCAAAACAGCATCCTCTGTTGTAGCATTCCTGAGCACTGATGTAGGGGTATCCACAGTTCATTCTGGTACTTGGCTGCACTTGGCATTCTTCTGAAGCTGTTCAATACAGTTTATCAGATTAATTTATTTGGGGAAGGGGAAGGCCATTAAGGTATTTGATTTGTAAAAAGATTTTATGTTTAAGCCTGAACGCTAAGTATGCTAACAAACAGGTATCGATTAAGTCCAGAGTTGACCTAAGACATGTTGATGCCTTAGGCAGGGCAGCAGATGCAACCCCTTCCCTCAGATTCAAAGTACTGTAAGCCAGTCAAGAAGTTTGGGCACCTGAGGACGAACATCTGTAAGAATATTGTAACAAAGAATATGCACTAGGAATCACTATAACTGAAGATTCTGCCTGCCTTTCATGCTTTACCAAAAGCTAATATATTGATGTCAAAAAGGCTGTTGCAGAAAACATGGAATAGGCAGGTTTGATATAAGCTGAATCAATAAGTCCCAGTAAACATTTTTTTAAAAGTTCCACTCACATGGTTTCAGGGAAAATCCATTAGCCAGGCTGCTGAATCCTAAGAAAAGGACCATCACCAGTAACCAGAACTTCTTTTGCTCCATGGCAGCTTGCTTTCCTCTGTCAGGAACCTTTAGCACTCCATAAGAAATTAACAAGGCAAGGTCTAGGCAAAAGATCTGCTGAAAATAATTTTTATACTAATCTGTTTGTTCAATCTTTTCAGGTAATGTTTATCTTTGGAGGGCTTTTTATGTCCTCATACCTCCACCTTTGTTTTGATATAAAGATTTTGACATATACCCCAGATACAGTATCAACATGTGGTTATGATGGATTAACTATTAATATTAGTAGGAAGATTATGTAGCGAAGAAACTCTTTGAGTTCTGGCAGCAAATTAATAAATAATAACATGCTGTCTTATCTGCTGAAGCCTTTGTGCCCTTTTCTGGATCTTCTGAAAGCACTTGGTTGACTGTTGCCAAAAGCCGAATATTTCATTTATTCACTCAAAATATTGCATGGCCCAGCTATTTTGCCCAGGTCCCATCTATTTCTTTTGATCTTGTCCATGTCTTGAATTTAGTCCTTGGCATCACATCTGGACTGAATACACCTTTCTGCCCCCAAATGTAAGCCACCCTTCATTACTGAGATAGAAACCAAAGTTCTTCTCTGCTACCTTGATAGAAAATATTCTAAAAATAACAAAAGAAAGAGAGAGAGAGATTGCTAATTGCAGATAGGAAAACTGAGCTGTGAAAAAGATTGTAGAAAAGACTGGGAGGACTATATTATCTTTTCAAATAAAATGTCATAAATGGAAAAATAGAAGGAAGAACCAGAAGGAAATCAATTTTATTACAGCCTTTAGCCAGCAGAACCAGAAGGAAAAGCTTATCCTAAAGATGTTACGCTAACTATTAGTGCTTATCTCTCTCTATAAATTAAGCTAAAGCAAGTCCAGTTTTGTTGTAGCTGGAAAAATATACATTTGGGATTATTTGGGTAGATAGTAATGAACACAGTCTAAATCATATACATTTAAACTCAGTGGAGAAATATATTTAAGATAGCATAATAAGTGGCACATACATTTTGGGTGTTTGGTACAAATGAAATGACAGTTGGTGATTCACTGTGATTAATTAATTGGCCAAAGGTGGAGCTGAAATTATTGCAGGGTTCTCCCTGGTTGTTATTTGGATGTGGGATTCCCTTGGTATCCAGGGCTATAGGCTGAACTGTGAAATAATTTTTTAAAAAATCCCAGAAGAAGGCAGTGGCAAATCACTTCTGTCACACTTCCAAGAAAATTGCATAAATGCAGACACAAGGAGCTGAGCTCTACTTGATAGGGTCTTGATTTTTTTCAATTTTTCTTTTTAAACTTTACTTTTGATTTACTCATGCTAAATGAAAAACCAGGCCCTAAATGAACTAATGTTGGTAAGTTTTTTAATCTGTTTCAGGTTAGAATAATATTTTTGAGATGTACCAAACTTCTTAAATCTGCTTCTTAAACCAAATCAAATCCAGCAAGACCAGGAATTAGATCCAACAGTGGTCATCCAGAAGAATCCAGAACTCTGCCCTTCATTTCCCAGAGCAATTTCTGAAATATTTTAATTTGTTTCAAAATACCTTTTTCAGAATTTGAATTGTGTTTTCATTCTAATCAATCTAATTTGAATAATTGATTTAATCTGATTATAGGTTTTCTGTACAAAAAGCCATCAAATTGTCTGATCTATTCAGAAGCAATAAATTATATGATTCAATTCAAGATGGTGACCCAATTCTGAAAGTCCATTTGATTCAGAGATTTCATTCAATCTTCAAATCAAATCTCTGAACTGAATTTTTGCACAACCTTATTCATCAGTACTTAAGCCATGACTGATCTTTCCTTCATCTTTCAGTAAGGTCATAAGAGTAAATTTCTAAATCAGAGGCTGGCTGATTCCAGTTAGTTTCACAGTTCTACTGATTAAAGAGAGCAGTTGGGGTACTGGGGAAAGTGGACAGGAGTGGGTATGATAAGATTAGATGATCTCTGGAAGTTTGAGTTATATCTTTATAAAACTAGACAATGATCAGAGATTATAGAATTTCTAATATAAAAACCTGGAGAGCACTAGGTTGTCTAGCTTGATACGAGGAACTTCCTTGCACACAGAGAAACAAAGCAATTATGCATATGGCTTGAATTTGGTTTAGCATGTTGTGTGAACACAGTTATTTCCATTTGTAAACCCTAGTTTATAATGTAATGCAATGTATGAACCCAAGTCACTAAGATAAAGGCAGCTTTGATCATATACTCAACCATAACATTCAGTGAGTATGTACAAAAGACCTGTCTATTGCTCAATCGGAAACAAAGCAAAACACTAAGATTATCTCAACAGCCAATGCCAACCCAATGCAAATAGGTGAAGAAGAAGTTGAAACAGTAATAGGCTTTATATTCCTAGACTCAAAACTTCACAAGAATGGTAACTGTACCAGAAATAATGAGACATCTGCTACTTGGGAGAAAGACTATGCAGGTCATGGTAAGATATTAAAGTATTTTGAAAAGTAATGTAAAATATAGTAAAATAACATATGGCTATGAAAGCTGGACTATCAGAAAGGCTGAGCAAAGAAAAATAGATGTCTGAATTGTGATGCTGGAACAAATAGTTGAGAATGCCTGGCAATACAAGAAGAACAAATCTAGACTGATCACTGGAAACATTAATAATGAAGCCAAAGCTTAGACATTTTAGACACATAATGTAAAGAGAAGAAAATGCAATAAAAGTCTTGATACTTGGAAAATCAAAGGCAATTGAAAAAGAGACCAACTGAAGACAAGTGACCAGATACTATCCCAGCATAAGATTACAAGTATTCAGAGTTATGGAGTAGCAGTTTCTGATAGACATTCCTGGGAAAATTATTCCAGGGTTGATGAAGAGTTAGAATAGTTTGGATACTCTGAGTAACATATTGACTAAAGGTGAGAACTGTTTACTTGTGATTTGAAGCATCAACTTACCCAGAAGCATGTTGCAAATGGCTAATCTACTGAAAAGTCTCTGAAGTCAGTTTTTACAGATGAGTAAGAGTTGCATATTTATTTAACTTTTAAATTTGAGATTAAGTTCTGAGTTTCTACAAATCAAAAGCACTACTTAGATGATCAATATTGTCCTCAGAGCTGGGCATTAGGACTATGATCAATGGACTGCCTTCCATTTCTGAGGGGGAAAAAAATTAAACAGACTGCAGAAATAGAAAATATTGTTTTGGAAATACAATCAGCAGAAATTGGGGGACATAAATCCTCCTACGTTGCCCTCATTAAAAGTTGTTTAGTCGTTAAGTCGTGTCCGACTCTTCGTGACCCCATGAACCATATTGCGCCAGGCCTTCCTGTCCTTCACTGCCTCCCTGAGTTTGCTCAGTTTCA